AAAATTAAGACTTTGGAACACGTAGAAATCTATTTGGAGAATCACCAATAGAACCATTTACTACATCTTTTGTAGATAATGAGTCGAAGAATTCCTTCATTTCATCAGGAGATTTATTTCCACTAGATGCAATAATCAGAGCAATTGTTCCAGCAACTATTTAATAAAAAGCTAGGATGAATACTATTATATGTAAAAAAAAATTTAGTCAATAAAATATTTATTATCACAAACCGTGAGGGGATGCTTGACTAGTTCCTGAAAATGTTATTAAATCTGTTGCAGACCTATTACCAGCTGCCATGATATCCGTGCCTAGTTAAAAAATAATAATCAATTATTGTGTATATAAAAGTATTTATTGTTCATTATTACTGATTTGTGGAATCGAGTTTTTTTATTTAAATCTCTAATATTTTAAATACAAATTACTTTCTGCAATATGTCAAGTTAGTAAAGGATCAATTCCACAAGCCGCCGTAATGCAATTTTAAGTTATTACCTGGAGCAAAGATATTAACACATTTTCCTAAGTTTGAAAAACTTGCAATAGTATTCGTATTAGTTTCAGTAGCTGCAACTGTTATGGCATTAGGTGCTGATGCTGGTGTGTCTTCACAAGCATCTTCTGCAAAATTTCCAGCAGCGACAACTACATGAACACCCAATTTACCTACTTTACAGTCGCATTATTAAAAATGTCTGAACCCAATGCACCTAAGGACATACTATAAAATAGATTAAGTTTTTTTTTTACAACATAATAAGTAAATATAGAAATGGTAGTTAGATAAAATATTACTTAATCACTGTATTCTTGTTAGAGCTATTCATATGTTCCTGTCCTATAAAACTTAATGCTGAAATAACGCCACTGCTACTAACACCGGAAGCACCCCCACCTTAACTGAAATTAGAGTCGCATTTTTTTTCTACACCATATTTAGTTCCTGAATAATTTCAAATTCAGAGTCAAGCATTAAGAAACCTTTACAATAATATTTCACTGATAACTTTTAATACCTCCAACCTATTAATATGATTTAAGTTTGTTAGTAAATTATAAAGAAAAGTACTTGACAGTAATATGTAAAATCATCAAAACTGAAAGGAACATTATTATGATACTAAGGTTTCAAATTAAATTTATAATACTCACAATCCCTGCGACATTTGATCCGTGACTTTTTTTTATAAAAAAAAAAATTTAGAAAAATGATTAAATTATTTAAAAAATATTTATTATGAGTAGAAATCAAAAATGAATACCCAAATCATCGTAATTCGGACATTCATCATCACAGAAAGCAGGACCGAGTATTGCTCGTCCACCAAATTCTGTATGATTTACATTAATACCACTGTATATAGGAAATAGCATTTATTAATATATAAATAATTATTGCTATGCATTTTTTATTTTAATTAGCGCGGAAATTACAGTAATAACTTACGAATCAACAATATAAACATTAACATTAGAACCAGCACTATTAGGAAAAGTATAATTTCCATCCAATAGAAATCTTTGTTCGTCAATACGGTCCAGATTTTAAAAATTTAGATAAAGAATCGTTAACATTATTTATTCGGGATATTTAAAATAAAACAAAGAACTTGAATAAGAATAAAGATTACGATAGGAGTGGTAAAGTTTTCAGTAGGAACATTAGTCGTTGAAGTAATAGTAAAATTTTGTGTTGAACCAATAATAGAGGTTCGTATACTAAATCTTATATCACGTTCTACATTAACAACTTCAGGTAAACTAGCCAATCTAGCAGCATCACTAGGACCAAACTGACCGATGTAGCAATTGAATGAACCAAAACTGACATCTTTAATAATGCTAGGATGACTTGATTGATGAGTTGAATCTTTACTAATGATTTTATTAAAACAAGATGTTAACATTGCATAGTGATTATTTACTACATCTCTTGAGGCCGTTGAGGAGAGTTGAATAATGAAATTTTGAAGGGCTTCATGAGAATTTGGAATTAAAGGACAGTTGAATGATTCAACCAAAGTGATTGAACAAATAATAAAAATGGAGATAATTTTAGTGAAATAGGAAATAACAACCATATTTAATTTAACAAGTATCCAGAATTAAGCGGTG